TGAAGGGGTCTCCGGGAACCTACTTTTTCTTGCTCGCCAACTTGCTGTGTGACCTTCGGCAACTCATCAGGCTTCTCTGGGCCACCATTTTACGGGGGACGGGGAAGAAAATAAGGGAACCCCCAAGATAATTTCCTAGGGCCTTTGCTGCAGAGTCCTTAAGTATTCGAGGAGCACACTTTGCGTGCACAGCGTATGGAGGAGACAGGCTTGAGGCCCAAGCGGGCTTATTACAAAGTGAGGGATTGGGGTTAGGCCCTAAATGTAGTTCCTACAAGACAGGCCTCTGATGTTCCGAAACAGGTGGAAGAGACGAGCGTTTCTTGGCCTCACTGGAAAGGGCCTCGGGCCTTCGTTTAGTTCGTGGGGGGTTGGCTGAGGGGGATTAAAGGGTCCCCAGCAGCAAGAGGTGGGGGAGGCACCAGATGGTATGAGAGCTTCCAGGGAGACCCGCCAAGATCTCTAGGCAGGCCGGGCCAGGCTCTCTGGGATTCCGTACTGGCTTCGCCCAACTGGAACCCCCTCGATGAGGGGGCCTCGGGCAGACCTTATATGAGGTCAGCACTCGTTTAGTTGATTAATTTTGATGTTTAGTTTGAAGGGGGACCTGTGGTGTAATATAAGATTCTAATCATTGCCTGTAATTGCATAGCAGGCCAAGCCACTAATGATGGAGCAGGATAAATCACCAACCACCTTGTTTAAAAGGGTCTCCAAGTCTGAAACATTATAAGATAGAATAATTAGCAAAGTCCCGCTGTCTGGAGGGTCTCTTGATGCTTGAGAATGGAGGTCCTGGGCCCTCCAGAAATCACAAGTTTGGAAAAACGTTTTTTTCCTCTCATTGGGGTAAAAACTCTTTTTTTTTTTTTTCTTTTAAATTAGACACGGGGGTCCCACCGTATTGTCCAGGCTGGTCTCGAACTCCTGACCTCAAGCAGTCCTCCTGCCTTGGCATCCCAAAGTGCTAGGATTACAGGCATGAGTCACCTCACCTGGCCCATAAATCATTTTCAAATGGTCTAGTTCTTATTTTGGTTAGAGTGAAGATTTCTTTCCATTATTTTAAGTTTTTCTAAACTATTACCTAGTTTGATCCTTGAAGCAGTCAGGAGTAGTTCAGGCAGGTACCTTATAATTACCTTGATCTTACAGATTGAGAGGGTTTCAGAAGTGGAGCCGCTTGGGCCCACCCCTTACTGTGGGCAGGCAGGGATTGGTTACTGGAAAAATGTGTAGCCTAGGCCTCCGGCATCTCATCTATCTGTAGCCTGTGGATGATAAGAACTAGGATGAAGATGTGGAGAACTGTCGTTTCTAAGCCTGTAGTACAGGGTGTTCAAAATACTGGTTGCAGGCCATCCTTCCAATGGGAAGTTTTAGGAAAACTAAAAATTGATAGACCCTTAAGAAGAAGGAAGATGCTAGAAAATGACCAAGAAGCTTTTAGGATGAGCCCTGCCAGGGGGCCAGCTAGGGTCTGTTAGACGGTGCATTTCAGTTGGGAGAATTCCCTGCCCATCTGACAAAGTCCCATCTGACTCCAGTTGGGCAGAGAAGGGGTAAGGGGAAAGAGGATGGCCTTTGGCTTTGGGCTCCCTTTCCTCCACCACCTCACCCACACTGTAGCTTCAACCATCTCTTCCCTCCCTCAATTATACCAATCTTTGAATCGTCCAGGGATTTACCCTGGGTGAGAACAGAGAAGAGAGCTGATGGGTGGGCACCCCCTGGCTATGTGATTGGCTCTTTTCTGTCCTGAGTCTTGGACCTTGCCAGACAGGCAGTATTGTCAGTGAGGTGGGCAGGGGATCAATGTCCGTAGCTGCCAGATCGCAAGGTCTCATTCTTTCCATTTTTTCCCTAGTCCCCACTGAACTGCGTAGACTGGGTTTTCTCTTAAAGGCAAAGGGCAGCAGTTGGCTACAGAAGGAGGGGATGCTGGCAATATGTCAGACCCCACCTCCCCACACCTTTGTCCCAGGGCGGCCTCACCCATGTAGCTAGGTCTGGGCTGGCTGTACCTCCTGGGACCCCCCCACCCTGCTCCATTGGGGCGGTGTTAAGGCAGGACAACAAAGAGCCCTTCTTAACAGGAGATAGATAAGGAGCTGATTAGGGCCAACGGCCCTTCCCCGCCCTTGGCAGCATCTGGGGGTGGGCAGACCCCTCCATCCTGGGCAGAGTAGGAGGCCTCGGGGCCTCTGGGAGCACAGTTTTCTGCAGTGTGCCTTGAAGGTACGGGTGATGAGGAGGTAGAAAGTGGCTGAAGTGAGATGTTTGTCTAAAAGCACTTTTCTGTTTCCCAGCATCCCAGCCATCACTCTTCCACCTGCTCCTTAGAGAAGGGAAGATGAGCGAGTCGAGCTCGAAGTCCAGCCAGCCCTTGGCCTCCAAGCAGGAAAAGGACGGCACTGAGAAGCGGGGCCGGGGCAGGCCGCGCAAGCAGCCTCCGGTGAGTCCCGGGACAGCGCTGGTAGGGAGTCAGGTGGGTGTCCAAACCTTTCCTTCACTCGGTTTACCCTTTGGGGCTAGGGAGGTGCCTGGAGTTTCATTCAGCAGGCGAGAACATGCATGGAGGGTGCAGAATAATTCTGTGCAGTAAGCATGTGGGTGTGTCCTCCCACCTGTGTGTACTCCTGCCGCACTTGCAACTCTGCTCAGATCTCTAGAGACCACCAGGAGAGAACGGGGGGCCGAGGAATTCAAGATGAATTCTGAAGCCAATGGCAGAAAGTCAAACCTAAAGCACCCCAGAGGTCATGTACCCAGTGCTTACTTAAAACATTCACCTTTTTCTTAATTTCCAGTCTACTGTGGACCGGTGATTTTAAAATGTAGTAAAGATGAATGAACAGCCGGATGCGGTGGCTCACGCCTGTAATTCCAGCACTTTGGGAGGCAGAGGCGGGCGGATTACTAGGTAGATTGAGACCATCCTGGCTAACACAGTGAAACCCCGTCTCTACTGAAAATACAAAAAATTAGCCAGGCCTGGTGGCGGGCACCGGTAGTCCCAGCTACTCTGGAGGCTGAGGCAGGAGAATGGCCTTGAACCTGGGAGGTGGAGCTTGCAGTGAGCCGAAATCATGCCACTGCACTCCAGCCTGGGCGACAGAGCGAGACTCTGTCTCAAAAAAAATAAATAAATAAAAAAGATGAATGAACAAAAATAAAAACACACAGAAGCTCAGGGTTTTTAATAATTAGTTTCAGTGCACGTAAAATGATTTTTGTCAATTTGCTGTAAAGTTTCTGAGTACTTACGGTTGATTCTTGTACTTCCTCATCCCAGGTGAGAAACGGGTACCTGTGTGGGCCTGCACCTGTTCATGCACAGGCCATGTTATGAGTAGTTCTGGAATGGGCATTGCCCCTGGCACTGTAGATGGAAATTGAAGCCCAAGAAGTCAAAATGTTGGGGAGTTTGTGTCAGTGACCCTCAGAACCCTGGTGCTGCTCTCCCCACAAGGTCCTCATAGAAGGATGAGGCTGCCAGCCTGGCACTGTGGGGCACCCTAGGGAGCATGGCCACTTGGGCTGGCGGGGGGGGGGGCCGTATTGGCCTCTTACAGAGGCAGCTGTCACCCAAGTGAGGGGTGGCTGTTGGTGAAGCCCAGTTACTTCCCTTCCCTGGGGAGGAGGTAAGAGGAGTTGAGGTTGACCTCTGCCCTTTAAACATGATGTAGGTTGTTCACCTGCAGGTTTTCCCTGTCCATAAGGTGGAGAGTGGTCTGTGCTGACCTGGGCCTAGGGAGACACGAGCTGTGATGAGTCTGCTGTGTTGGAATTCGGCAGCCACCTTTAGAGCCTGGGGTGGGATCATTTGTCCTCTTAGCCTAGCTCCCTCAGCCTCCCCTCCTATCCCAGCTGTTAGCCATGGTCAGTGGGAGGTGTCAAGAGGGGTGCTGGATTACTGGATCCTGGTTATAGACAGGCCATGGGCAGCCCCCTAGGAAACAGTAGCTGGCGCGCCTTCACCGTGTACCTTCTATGCATTATGCAGCAGCTTTTTATTCTATTTAGGGCTTATTAAAATTTCAGTGGGAATGATGGCAGGGATCTCTGGGGTCCGGCTGTAATTCCCCTTCTCTGGGGGCAGCCTGGATGGGCTCCAGGTTTGTAAGTGCAGGCAGGGAGTGTGTGTCCAGCATAGGTCATCTGAGAGGGTGGGCAGTGATCACGGGACAGTGCTAGATAACCATACATTACCCATTTAATCTCCATGACAACCCTGCGAGGGAAGTCTTTACCATTTATAGATGAGGAAACTGAGGCTCCAGCATTACGTATCCTGCCCAAGATCAGTGTCAGAACTGGCACTTGGGCAGAGCCACCTAACAGTATCTTTCTGTCCCCAGAATGCTTTTCCTAGGGGTCTTCTGGGCTCTTGTCATTTTGCGTCTTAGAAATCCGCAGGGAGGCAAGGGGAGGGATGGGAGGCACTTTGCAAAGATGCTCAAACTGGAGCTTTGGATCCTGAAGGGATTCCTGGGTCAGAGGTGGTTCTTGGTTCTTGCTGACTTAACCTTGTTGAGGAGGCAGAGGGCTGTGTCTTCTAAGGGGACAGAAACACAGGTAGTGACTGTCCCTGACTATCCTCTCTGTCTTTACAGAAGGAGCCCAGCGAAGTGCCAACACCTAAGAGACCTCGGGGCCGACCAAAGGGAAGCAAAAACAAGGGTGCTGCCAAGACCCGGGTGAGACTTGAGATGGGACCAGCCCTGGGTGGATGACCAGCAGAGGATCCCCTTGTTGGCTCCATGGCCACGGCTGTGGGGAGGTCTGGGAAGGGGCTCAGTCATCCCAGTTGTGCACCCCCTTCCCTGGTACAGGGGTGGCAATGAGTCTTTGCTAATTGGGGAGAGTGGGGCAGTGACTAAGGTCTCACTTCTGTGGGGTTGGTCCTGCCCAGGACAATGCGGAGATGAGGTCAGAAGTCCCACGGCTTTCCTGATCTAGAGAAAGGCGGAGTGGGGAGAGTGGAGGGTCCCTGCCAGCCCTTGGGCTGAGAATGTTACCTTCTCCTCTTGGGGTCCCCTGGAGCCTGAAGGGGTGGGGACAGGCAGCAAAGGCCAGATTCACAGTGGCATCAGCCTTTCAGAAAAGTTGTTTTGTTTTTTATTTTATTTTTTCTAAGACACGACTCATATCCTCTGAGTCATGGGTGGAGATGGGAGTAGGGGGCGTGTGTGTATGTTGAGGGGGCAAATGTGGCTGGCCAGTCATCGCCAGCTGGACTTGGGTGGGCCTGTTGGGTGAGAGTGTTGGGCCGCCCTGAACAGGCAGGTAGGTCTGCCCCTCCCTCACCATTGGGCATCAGGTGAGCACTGTTGAGCATTTTGGACTTAGGAGATATTTTCTCTAACCCTCTAGAAAACCACCACAACCCCAGGAAGGAAACCAAGGGGCAGACCCAAAAAACTGGTAGGTGAAGAAGCAGACTGCTGCTTACCTCGTGGGCTCTTTGAGTGAGGGTGTTAAGAGTACATAGTACCTAATGCTATGCACGCCCTATGGAAAGGCTGTCCCTGACCTGCTGGGACATCAGATTTTATAGAAGTCCAGAGCGGGGAGGGTGCCTGGCCTGGGCTGTGCCCATGAGAAGTGAGGGGTCCCAGGTACAAATCAGACCATATCCCCCTGCCCTGCCCTAGTTGTGTGGGGGGTCCCTCTCCTGCTCCTAGAATCCTCAGAACTTCTGGGGGAAATCTGGGAAGTCATCTAGCCTGTGTCCCCCTCAATTAGAGATGAGGAAAGGAAGCCACAGGGGCAAGGTTTGTCCTTCCTATCATCCTCTGGAGAAGAGAAACAGTGAAGGAGCTGGGCCCTGGGAGGGGTCAGTGCTGGAGTTCTGATGTGACCCACCACACTGCACTGAAGGGCACCATCCACTTCTGGGCCCTCAAACAGCTGGTGGAAAGGCTCGGTGGGCTGAGTCAGGAGGCTGCCTCTAGGGGGCCACTGCAGTTAGGGTCACCCCAGCCTTCCAGCTCCTGGCCTTCTCTTACCCCCAGCCTGCCCCCTCAAATCCCTGAAGCTGTCATTCCTCGAGCTGAGCCACTGCTGGGGTGGAGGGGGGTAGGGGGTGCTGCTGGCCAGGCCCCAAGAGTGAGTAACAGGAAACAAGTTGTTTTGGAGTTTGTGCCTGGCACGGGGGCTGTAGCCCCGTGTGGTGTCCCGACATTCCCGCCCAGTGAGTGAGCCCCGGCGGCACACACTTCCCCTTCCTCCCCACCCCGGCCTGGGGTCAGCCCTCGGCCACTCCCGAGGGCCAGGGCACCACAGCGCAGCATCTGCCCCTGTGGGCCAAGGACCTGGTTCCCCTGCACCCACCAGAGGGCTCATGTACCTTCCAGCCACCCCTTCCCATTTCCTCCCCCAGCCACCTCCTCCCCACCTCTTCTCCCCTAGGGAGCCAGTCACGTCCTGAAGCTCAGTGCTGCCCTGAGCTCTGCCCTCCTGTGCTCCATGGGCTTGGGGGCCAAGGGGGCTTGGCTTCTGGCTCTGGGTGACAGCAGCATGTGTGTGGGGTTTTTTCCTCCTTTTAAATTCTTTTTATGAATGAAGCCGGGCCGTGGAGGTTGCTGAGTCACCCACACACTCAGCCCTGACTCATCCCTCTTCAGGAGAGCCAGGGAGTGCAGGGAGCGGGTGGGGGCCAGCCTCTGGGGGTGGAAGAGGGGGGCCAGGCCAGAGCTCACACCAACAACTGCCCACCTCACAGGAGAAGGAGGAAGAGGAGGGCATCTCGCAGGAATCCTCGGAGGAGGAGCAGTGACCCATGCGTGCCGCCTGCCCCTCACTGGAGGAGCAGCTTCCTTCTGGGACTGGACAGCTTTGCTCCGCTCCCACCGCCCCCGCCCCTTCCCCAGACCCACTATCACCACCGCCTCTGGCCGCCACCCCCATCTTCCACCTGTGCCCTCACCACCACACTACACAGCACACCAGCCGCTGCAGGGCTCCCATGGGCTGAGTGGGGAGCAGTTTTCCCCTGGCCTCAGTTCCCAGCTCCCCCCGCCCACCCACGCATACACACATGCCCTCCTGGACAAGGCTAACATCCCACTTAGCCGCACCCTGCACCTGCTGCGTCCCCACTCCCTTGGTGGTGGGGACATTGCTCTCTGGGCTTTTGGTTTGGGGGCGCTCTCTCTGCTCCGTCACTGTTCCCTCTGGCTTCCTGTAGTGGGACCTGGGAGGGTTCCCCTGGCCTTAAAAGGGGCCCAAGCCCCATCTCATCCTGGCCCGCCCTACTCCACTGCCCTGGCAGCAGCAGGTGTGGCCAGTGGAGGGGGTGCTGGCCCCAGGATTCCCCCAGCCAAACTGTCTTTGTCATCACATGGGGCTCACACTTTTCATCCTTCCCCACCTTCCCTAGTCCCTGCACTAGGTTGGGCAGCCCCCTTTGGCTCCAGGAAGGCAGGAGGGGTGTGTCCTTACTCCCGCTTCACTGTGGCCACAGCCCCCTTGCCCTCCGCCTGGGATCTGAGTACATGTGGTGGTGATGGAGATGCAGTCGCTTATTGTCCAGGTGAGGCCCACGAGCCCTGTGGCCGTCACCTGAGGTGGGCTGGGGCTGCTCCCCTCACCCTACTTTGCTTCCGCCACTCAGCCATTTCCCCCTCCTCAGATGGGGCACCAATAACAAGGAGCTCACCCTGCCCTCTCCCAATCCCCCTCCTGCTCCTCCCTGCCCCCCAAGGTTCTGGTTCCATTTTTCCTCTGTTCACAAACTACCTCTGGACAGTTGTGTTGTTTTTTGTTCAATGTTCCATTCTTCGACATCCGTCATTGCTGCTGCTACCAGCGCCAAATGTTCATCCTCATTGCCTCCTGTTCTGCCCACGATCCCCTCCCCCAAGATACTCTTTGTGGGGAAGAGGGGCTGGGGCATGGCAGGCTGGGTGACCGACTACCCCAGTCCCAGGGAAGGTGGGGCCCTGCCCCTAGGATGCTGCAGCAGAGTGAGCAAGGGGGCCCAAATCGACCATAAAGGGTGTAGGGGCCGCCTCCTCCCCCTGTTCTGTTGGGGAGGGGTAGCCGTGATTTGTCCCAGCCTGGGGCTCCCCCTCTGGTTTCCTATTTGCAGTTACTTGAATAAAAAAAAATATCCTTTTCTGGACTGGAGTCTACTGTGGTGTGTGCCCCTAAAGCCTGGGGCAGGTAGGGTAGGTGACACTTGGGTTCTGGCCCTGTCCTTCAGGCTGTGGGAAGGGAGGGGAAACAGCACTGGAATCACCTCAGAGGAAGGTCATTTTAAGCCTCTTGATGAAATCAACAAAACCCCTAGCCACAAAACGTTTTATTTACAAAATATATACTGAATACTATACATCTGGCCCCATCACCATGGAAACAACTCCAAAGCCCTCCTGGGGATTTATGCCCAAGCCAAGCCCAGGAGGGCTAGAGAAAGCAAAGGTGTCTCCCAGCCGCCCCCATCCCAGAAGGAAAACCTCCCATGAGTGCCTGTGGGTGGGCAGTGAGCTCGACACCCACAAAGGGCAGAAGGCCTGGGGGCAGTGAGGTGATGGTGAGGGCATGGGAAGCAGATGCTGAGGGTGGGTGGAGGGAGAAATGGAGACCCAGCACCCAGCAGGGGGAGCCAGGGGAAGCAGGCTGACGGCAGGCCAGGCAGTCCAGGACGGCAGGCTCTGAAGGGTGGGGCAAGGGGGTCAGGTCACGTCTTGACATCCAGCAGCGGCATCCGCTTGTGCTGGTAGCCACTCTGCCAGCCATGTACCACCTGTCGGGCAAGAGACCACACCACAAGGCTGGGCTGTGTTCCCTGGGAGTCTGCAGCACTCAGTTACAGCCCAAGTAAGCAGAACCAGGCTCTGGTTTCAGTGTGGACGAGTATGGCTGGGAACAGGGCTAACCCCCACCTTGCCTCATTCTCCCCCTGGCGCCCAAGTGCTCACCTTGGGGTCTCCCATGTCAGAGAGCAGCTCCTGCTCAGCCTCATGCAGTTCCTCGGCTGGGTCATAGCTGTACATGGGGAGCAGGTGATGCCGCAGCCGGTCCACCCTGGGGAGCAGGGGAGGGGACTCAGCCTAGGAGGCCCCCCAACCCTCATCAAACACCTGGCTGCCCCATCTCGCCTCCCTCTCCCAGGCAGGGGCACTTCCAGTGGGTGCCTTTTGGGACACACTATAGTTCCAAGAATACAACCCTGATTCTACAAAGGGACTTTCCCCAGTGAGTAACCTCAGGCTGGGGCAAGGAAAACAAAATTCAGGCTTATATCAGGATGGCTTCTTTCTTACAGAAAACTCAAAGCCTATGAGCAGGAATTTCAGAATGGGTGTGGGGATAGGGCAGGTGGGGAGACAGGGACACTCACCGCTTTTTCTTCTGTACATACATCACCTGCAACAGAGACACAGCACTGTGGGGGCTGCTGAGCCCGGGAAGGCCCACAAGCAGAGAGAGGCCCACCTCCACCCCCTTCACTCCCTCAACAGGACAGTGGGGACTCTGTGCAGACTGGACCAGGCCCCCCCAGCCCCTGCCTTAGCAAAGCTGTGGGTGTCTGTGTGTGTATATGAGGGCTCCTTACCACAGCCACCACCACCCCGACCAGGGTGATGAGGAAGAAGGGCCCCAACACATAGCCCACCATGGAGTCGCTGTTGGCCTGGGGGGCATTGGGCACAGTGGTGTTACTCATGACATCAGCAGCCGGAGGGCTGGGTGGTTGGTCAGCATGGGCAGTGGCACTTCGGGAGGGCGCCTCCACTGGGCTCCCTGGGGAGGAGGAAGGGAGGTTATCAGTTGCACCCAGGTGACATCCAGACTCTGGATCCCTCCCCCAGAGCTGGAGATCTATGAAAACTGGTCCCAGGTCAAATCCTGGGAGGAGGGATCCTCCAGGTAGATGTACCGGGTGTAACCCTCCAGTGAGTCTTGGCAAATCCTGGCAGGAAAGGGGATCAAGGGAAGGCCTGGATCCAGGGCTGAGTCCTACCCAACTCCTATCCCTATATCAGGGCGGGGCCCAGCTAGAGACATTTACAAGTCTCAACTTCTGGGGAAAGAAGTGCAGGTTTCCAGTGCCTGCCCCAGCCCTTTTGGGGCATTGGGCTGCCAGTACCTGTCCAGTGGAGCAAAATGGATAAATGAGGTCTAAAGGAGGGACCTGCACTGCAGCCAGGGGTGAGGTGGGAGCATCTGAAGGAGTTCCGCTTCCATCCTGGTCCAATCCCACTTCAAGCGATGGGCTCCATGCCTGAGTTCTATGCCCTTGTCCCTGGTGTCACCTCAGACATACAGCCCGAACACCCTCTGCCCCATCGGTTTCGTGTGCCAGGGTGGACACGAGTGGGTAAAGCTGGATTGTATCTTCAAGATGATGTCACCTTCCTCTTGTCTCCACCCAGGGCTCCGCCCAGGTCCCTCCCCTCCTGGCCTGGGCTGACAGGCAGAGGTGGAGAGGGTCAGTCCCCATCGACAGAAGCAAAGAGATCGTCCTGGGGCGGTTTGCACGCTGATGGCCCAAGGTCCGCGACCCAGGTTCGCTTGAGTCTCTATCAGAGGGCAAGGTATGAACGACCTACCCCCGTGTCCGTAGGGCACGGGGCATCGAGCTTGCCCTTACCCAGTCGTATGCTCATCGTCCCAGGCCAAGGGGGCATGCCAGGGTGGGGAGGGCGTCAGGCCGCTGCTAGGATGCGGGCCAGCAACAGTGGACAGGAGGTGGTTCCCACGGCGCTGGGAGGCTCAGGCCGGAGGTGGGGGGTGTTGGGGGACGCGGATGAGCCGCCCCGCGCCCGAACATCCTGGAAGCCTG